ACTCACTCTGGGACGGCGATGGGGGCTCATCGCACCATAACCACTGCAACGGGCAGTCCAAACACTGCTCGATTGCTGAAATCAAGGCCTGAATTTTAAATATCCGCAATACTTGCACACTGTCTGTGCCAGCAGTGAACAGGCAAGTAGTTCAAAATATCATTGGGCAGTGCAAGGTTAGCATTAACCAGAAACATCTTGCGCTCTCTCTAAATCCTTTCTCATTCACCCTAGTAAACACATACTATTCATTTACATGTCGGCTGTGCCAGGACTGCCAGACCGATAATAATAATTACATTTCCACCCGGCACGACACTATAAAAGGAATTCTCCCCACTTCACCTGCGACGGTCTGAGCCACTTCAGTTTACTCATACTGGTCGGATAATTTTTATTGAATTAAAAAGTGAATTGAAAATTCATTAAAAAATAGTTGGTTTGGAAAAATCTCCAACTCCGTCACTGCGACTACGTTAAATTCTGCAATTTAGTTTTCAATAGACTTGGAGATTCGTTATGAACTGCAATCCTTCCGAATTTGGGCAGATCGGGTCCAAATAAGTCGAAATGTAACAGACTCAATAAATAAAAAACTAAATGTAACAGACTCAATAAAATAAAATAAATGTAACCGAATCACAAATAAGACGAAACGCGCAATGATCACACATCATCATTCCGTCTGCGGCAGCAAAGCTAGATGTGATTGCTGGTTCTGGGATGGCCAGTAAATGTTGACAGCTCTACGGAATTTGCTGGCGTTTTATAAAAAAAAAAAAATATTCACAGAGTGCCTGTGGAGCTTGTGAGTTTTATTGCTGTGGAGCTCTGTGATACTCATACACACTGCACATTACTGTGAGTTTTATTGCTGTGGAGCTCTGTGATACTCATACACACTGCACATTACAGCCTGTGGAGCTTGTGAGTTTTATTGCTGTGGAGCTCTGTGATACTCATACATACTGCACATTACAGCCTGTGGAGCTTGTGAGTTTTATTGCTGTGGAGCTCTGTGATACTTGTACACACTGCACATTACAGCCTGTGGAGCTTGTGAGTTTTATTGCTGTGGAGCTCTGTGATACTGCACATTACAGCCTGTGGAGCTTGTGAGTTTTATTGCTGTGGAGCTCTGTGATACACTCACAGTTAAGTAGCTATAGAAAGGGGAATCCATTAAGAAAGAGAGGTCTGGCAGGTAGCTACCCTGTCCTGGTCATGCAGTTCCCTATCACATACACATGTGGTGTGTTTATCAGTCAGTTTCAGGTGGGCTCATCCCAGACCCCCATAATCCTATCACTGGTTTCTGTCTCATGATATGATTAGCTCTGTATAAAGGGACTGAGCTGGGCTCTGCCAGAACATGAAACATGATGGGTCCCCTCATTCAATTCACCTTCCAGCTCACCCTGCTGCTCACAGGTCAGTCTTATTATCCACCTTGTTATTATGCACAGTTGTATACACCTTGATGTTATCCACCTAATTGTTATTATCCACAGCCTTTTTATCCACAGTGTTATTAACCACCTTATTATACACTGCATTATCATCCACAGTTGTATACACCTTATTATCCACCTTGTTGTTTTTATCCACTGCCTTATTAGCCACAGTAATATTACCCACCTTGCTATTATCCACAGTGTTATTATATACAGTCTAATTAAACACTGCCCTAATATCCACAGTCTTAGTAACTACAGTGTTATTATCCACCTTGTTATAATACATAGTGTTTTCATCCACCGTGTTATTATCCACCTTGTTATTATCCACAGTGTTATTATCCACTGCATTATTATCCAGTCTTATCCACCTTATTATTATGCACAGTGTTATTATCCACAGTGTTATTATTAGGCATGTGCATGGGGAAAATGTTCGGTTCCCCCTTTCCGAATTTCGGGACCTTCGGGACTTCTATTGCAGCCGCTTAGTAGATAACTCCCTAATTCCCACGGTATTAGGGAGTTATCTACCAAAAGGCTGAAATACCTAAATTGGTCTTTCAGCCAAATTTACTAATACTAAGTAAAAATTACTTAGTATTAGTAAATGGCTGCTCACTGTTTAAAATAAAAAAAAAAAATCCACTTAATACACCACTCAGAGAGTTATGAGTCAAATTACACAGCGTGGGAAAATTCCAAAGAACTTTCCCACGCTGTGTAAAATGACACAGAGCACTCTGATTGGTGGATTTCAAGCCAACCAATCAGAGTGCTGTGACAGGTAAATGTAGAGACTTACCTGTCAACGCACTCTGATTGGATGGCTTAAACCCACCAATCAGAGTGCTCTGAGCCTAATTGCAGGGCGGGGCAAGGCTTTATAAGCCTTCCCCCTTCCTGCAGAGGTCAGTCTGCGCAGAGCACTCCATGGGTGAAGATGGATTATTATTTTTTTGCGCTCGGTTTTTATTATTATTAAAAAGTGCGTCGGTTATTATGGTTTTTTATTTGGCCTTTTTTGGGGCTGAAAAAATAAGATTTTAGAAGAAAGAAAACACTTGGTTAAAGGTCCCCCCCTTGTTATTTTTGGGGGTTAGGTAGGGGGTTAAAAAAAAATTTTACATTTTTTTTTTGGGGGGGAGGGAGTGACTAGGGGTTTGGGGACTCCCCTGGCAGGGAGGGGTGGGTTAACTTTTTTTTTTTTTGGTGGGGGGCCCACCCGCCGCTCAGGGGTGGGGGCCAGGAGGGAGGACATTAGGTCGCCCCCATTATTAGTATTTAGGGCCCCCACCTACCGCTCAGGGGTGGGGACCAGGGGGGAGGACATTAGGTCCCCCCCTTATTTTACTTTAGGGCCCCCACCTACCACTCAGTAGTTTTTTGTTTTTTTTTAACAGGCTGTTTAATAGACATGCCCCTACTCGCGGAATAGAGAGTAGGGGCATAATTTACTAATACTAAGTAATCTTTACTTAATAAATTTGGCTGAAAGACCAATGTAGGTCTTTCAGCCTTTTAGTAGATAGCTCGCTAATACCGTGGGAATTAGGGAGTTATCTACTTATTAATTCCTGTCATTACATTGACAGGCTAAGTAACTTACATTTAATATGAATATATGTTACTTGATTGTTGCAAATGCTTACAGCTGAATCCTGGCTATGTTTGTATACTTTTTATTTAAAATTGTATACAATGTAACATTCTTCTTCTTTCACTGGGTAAGTATATTAGTACTTGGGCAATACTGCGCTTTGGAACTTCGGTACTTTTGACACTTCAGGACTTCAGCCACTTCGGTAATTTCAGAACTTAGGGACCTCGGCAATTTGGACATTCGGAAGTATCCGAATTGTACGAAATTAGTCCGAATTCACATTCGGACCGAAACAAATTGCACATGTCTAGTTATTATCCACTGTCTTATGCATAGTGCTTTCATACACAGTCTTATTAAATGTGTGTAAATAGAGATCCAGGGAGGGATAGTCTGCAGGCTGTGGCATGGAATGCGTTAATAGAGATCCAGGGAGACATAGTTTGCAGGCTGTGGCATGGAATGTGTTAATAGTTAGGTCTGTGATTTGATCCTGATACAATATAACTGGCTGATAATCTCTCTGTAGAATACTGTCTGCGTGATATTCTGGTGCAAAAACCAACGACTGTCTCTCAACATTTAGCACTTTGCACTAATAATAATTAATCTCCCAATATACGCAATCCGTCTTTTTTTTTTTATATTTCAGTCTGCGCAAGGACTCTCGATGAAACGGGAGCAAATATCACTAAAGTCTAATTCCACAGCTCCGCTCTAATCGTGGAACAATGGTTTCCATGGTAACAGCTCCACTATTAGAACATTTTATATATCGCTCTCAATTTATTCCACATTCCTTGTCTACTAACAGACAGAAGGAGATAAAGTGAATGTAAAGAAACACAGCAGACATACAGAGACAGAGTGAGAGACAGACGGCAGAGTGAGAGACATACAGACAAATATATAAAATGATAGGGATGTGCATGGGCAAAATGGTTCGGTTCGGCATTCCGAAATTTGGCACTTTGGCACTTCGGACATTCGGAAGCATCTGAATGTCCGAATGGTCGAAATTCGTCTGAATTTCCATTCAGACCAAACCGAATGCACATGTCTACAAAATGATAATGCACTCACAATATATATTGTCCAAAAGAGATGTGTATATAAATTGCATTTTTAATTTTATGCCATAAGATTGGAAAAAGTGCAAGTGCTTGATATCTTGTCTTATAAGGCAGCATCAATGCACTGATACACTTAAATACTATTTAACCTCCACCTTCAACATGTGAATATATGTGCAATAAAACAAAGTCATACAACAGACTCGAAATTCAAAGGTAGTTTAACACCCTCTGGTCAGATCGTATCGGCTCCTTATATTAGTATGGTAATCTATACTAATGGGATATACTGCCCCAACGCGTTTCTCATGATGCCTATAAGCAGAATCCACGATAGCAAGGTTTGTATACACACATTTATTGTGAGGACAAAGACTCTAACAAGATCCTGGTACCAACACACATTGTGGTGAGATCCAACCGTGATGTTACTGACGGAGATCTGCTAAATAGTATGGGGACTCTATCTTAGATATTTTTTTCATTTTTGTATGTTTTTAGTAATGAGTACAGCCAGGTGGCCTCTCCTTTTTAAGTAGGGAATGTCGTTAGGTGATTACCCTAGCCTAATTTTCTTTGACTGGCATAGTATCATTTGACCTATCCCAGTATAATTTTGTATATTTGTATCTGTTTTGTGAGGTATGTGGGCAATCTTGATACAGCACCATTTTTTCAGGATAGTGCCAGCTTGCAATTATGTTTTTGTATTACAGACAGACAGGGTAAGAAAGAAGCATACAGACAGACCGTGATGCTTTCTCGAGATACGCATGGTTAATATTTGGGTGTCTCTCTTCCTACCATTATACAGGAGGTGGTCTTGCTCAGCACCAGGTTGGGGTGCCCCCGGGGCCCTTGGTTCGCATGGAGGGTTCCGGTATCTTTATCTGGTGTAATGCAAGTGGTGTGTCACGAACAGAGTTTGAGTGGTCGCTCTTCCCCTCTCACTCACCCTCATGGAAGCTGCAGATAATCAGTTCCTCTGATCCTCACTTCACCTACGCACTATACAGCGAGCGAGTTCAACAGCGACGGGAAATCTACCTGGAGAGAGGGGGAGAAAACACAGCCCGGCTTCATATCACCCACCTGAGGGCACGGGACTCTGGCGATTATGAGTGCCATACTCCAAACACCGCTCAGACTTTTTATGGGAGTTACAGTGCAAACGTTTACCTGAAGGGTAAGAAATCCAGCAATAAAACTCACAAAAACCAACTGGAGTATGGCGCTAATAACTCCTCCCACTGCGCCATATAACACTCTATGTAACTCCTCCCACTGCGCCACATAAGACTCTCTATAACTCCTCCCACTGCACCATATAACACTCTATGTAACTCCTCCCACTGCGCCACATAAGACTCTCTATAACACCTCCCACTGCACCATATAAAATTCTGTATAACTCCTCTCACTGCACTATTTAAAACTCTTTGTAACTCTTCCCACTATTCCATATAACACTCTATATTACTCCCTATAACCCCTCCTATTACTCCATATAACCTCTCCCTATAACTCCTTCTATTACTCCATATAACCTCTCCCTATAACTCCTCCTATTACTCCATATAACCCTCCATATAACCCCTCCTATTACTCCATATAACCTCTCCCTATAACCCTCCTATTGCTCCTACCTCCCCTATAACTCCTATTACTCCATCCTCCTATAACCCCTCCTATTCTCCATATAACCCTCCTATAACCCCCTCCTATTACTCCCATATAACCCGCTCCTCCTGTACTCCCTATAACTCCTCCTATTACTCCATATAACCTCTCCCTATAATTCCTCCTATTACTCCATATAGCCCTCCTATAACTCCCTCCTATTACTCCCTATAGCCCTCCCTATAACCCCTCCCTGTTACTCCATATAGCCCTCCTATAATAACCCCTCCTATTACTCCATATAGCCCTCCCTATAACTCCTCCTATTACTCCATGTAACCCTCCCTATAACTCCTCCTATTACTCCATATAACCCTCCCTATAACTCCTCCTATTACTCCATATAACCCTCCCTATAACACCCCCTATTACTCCATATAACCTCTCTATAATTCCTCCTATTACTCCCTATAACCCTCCCTATAACTCCTCCTATTGCTCCATATAACCCTCCCTATAACTCCTCCTATTACTCCCTATAACGCCTCCTATTACTCCATATAACCCTCCCTATAACTCCTCCTATTACTCCATATAACCCTCCCTATAACTCCTCCTATTACTCCATATAACGCTCCCTATAACTCCTCCTATTACTCCATATAACCCTCCCTATAACCCCTCCTATTACTCCATATAACCCTCCCTATAACCCCTCCTGTTACTCCATATAACCCTTGCTATAACTCTTATTACTCCATATAACCCTCCCTATAACTCCTCCTATTACTCCATATAACCCTCCCTATAACTCCTCCTATTACTCCATATAGCCCTCCCTATAACCCCTCCTATTACTCCATATAACCCTCCCTATAACTCCTCCTATTACTCCATATAACCCTCCCTATAACTCCTCCTATTACTCTTTGTATAGCCCTCCCTATAGCTCCTCCCTGTTACTCCATATAAGCCTCCTATAGCCCCTCCCTGTTACTCCGTGCCAGCCCCTCCCTATAGCTCCTCCCTGTTACTCCTATAGCCTCCTATAGCTCCTCCTATTGCTCCATATAGCCCTCCCTATAGCTCCTCCTATTACTCCATATAGCCCTCCCATAAACCCCTCTGTTACTCCATATAGCCCTCCCTATAGCTCCTCCTGTTACTCCATATAGCCCTCCCTGTTACTCCATATAGCCCTCCCTGCTCCCCTATTACTCCATATAGCCACTCCTATAGCCCCCCTCCTATTACTCCATATAACCCTCCCTATAAACCCTCCTATTACTCCATATAATCCTCACTATAACTCCTCCCATTACTCCATATAACCCTCCCTATAACTCCTCCTATTACTCCATATAACCCTCCCTATAAACCCTCCTATTACTCCATATAAACCCTCCTGTTACTCCATATAACCTCTCCCTATAACTCCTATAACTCCTCCTCTTATATATATATAACTCCATATAACCCTCCCTATAACTCCTCCCACTACTCCATATAACACTCTCTATTGCTCCTCCTATAACACTCTCTATTGCTCCTCCTATAACTCCTCCTATTACTCCATATAACTCCTCCTATTACTCCATATAACCCTCCGTATAACCCCTCCTATTACTCTATATAACCCTCCCTATAACCCCTCCTATTACTCCATATAACCCTCCCTATAACTCCTCCTATTACTCCATATAACCCTCCTATTACTCTATATAACCCTCCCTATAACTCCCCCTATTACTCCATATAACCCTCCTATTACTCTATATAACCCTCCCTATAACTCCTCCTATTACTCCATATAACCCTCCCTATAACCCCCTCCTATTACTCCATATAACCCTCCCTATAAACCCTCCTATTACTCCATATAATCCTCACTATAACTCCTCCCATTACTCCATATAACCCTCCCTATAACTCCTCCTATTACTCCATATAACCCTCCCTATAACCCCTCCTATTACTCCATATAACCTCTCTATAACTCCTCCTATTACTCCATATAACCTCCCTATAACTCCTCCTATTACTCCATATAACCAATTAGATTACAGGACTGTTAAAGGATAACTGTCATTAAAAAAAAAATCAATGTGTCAAACATTTTAATATACATGAATTAAAAAACAATGAAGAGTTAGTAAAATATAAAGATTAGATTCAGATATTGACTTTTTTATGATAGGTTTCCTTTAAGGGTTTTTAAAAAAATAAATAAATAAATTGTATTATATTAGAAGGGAAGACCGTGAATATAAAATAGGAAAACTCTAAGTTTAGAAATATATCTATGTATTTGTTCCTTTTAACAATCAGTCTTGCCATGTTGTTCTTCCGAATTGTCTCAGTCTGTATTCGCACAATATCAATATTATATAAATTATTTCCTCCATAAAGAATATGTCCAATCACTTTCTATTTCTCCACCTAAAAGCCTGTGTTCCTCTGCAGTAATCCCAGACATGCTGAGGGTACAGAGTTTGTCACCCGATATTCTAACTGTAGAAGATGATGACCCACTGAGCCTGGTCTGCGAAGTCTTCTCTGGGACCAGTCTGCACACTCACATCTCCGTGACCTGGTACCAGATGTATGGAGACGAGTCTCATCTGATCCTCAGCCTGTCTAAACATTCTGTGGTGTCAGCAGGACCCGGCTTTACTGTCCGCCATATCAAGGGTGAGGTCAGGCTCGAGAAAGTGTCTGCTGCCTGGTACCAGCTCACGCTGACCCGTTTAAAAATCACAGATGAAGCAGAATATTGGTGCCAGGTCACGGAATGGATCCAGGACCCAGATAACAGCTGGTACCCACTGATGACCAAAAGGAGCAGTGCCACCACCATCCAGCTGAGATCCCAAGGTAGACCATTAGTGGAAGGTAATGTTTTTCGTTATTTATGTTTTCGCGTAGATAGTCCATTAAAGGACACTGTTTTCACAAAACTTGGTTGAATTGACAACAATTTGTGAAAATAAACAAATTCCCATAAAGTCCCATATTACCAAAAGCCATCTCTAGCCAAAATTCGGTCATTCCACCTGAATGAGCATTAATGAGATTCATTTGGTGTCTGGTTTACCTGTTATTTCCAAATGTGAATTTTATATTAAATACAGGATTTACATATTTACCAAAAACCAAATGGATTCTGGATTTCAACCAGATCTTGCCGAGAGACAGGAAAATCAACTAATTAAAAACTTGCTTTCTTTTTGCAATGACTTTATTGAAATCCAGACTATTTGTGCTAAATATTACTGAATCTAGGATTATTGTTTGCTGTTACATTTCAGCAAGATACATGAAAGTTCTCAGGGTCAATGTCCGGTAGGTCTGTGTTCGGTAGGCCCATGTCTGATATGTCTATGTACGGTAGGTCTGTGTTCGGTAGGCCCATGTCTGATATGTCTATGTCCGGTAGGTCTGTGTTCGGTAGGCTCATGTCTGATATGTCCATTCCAGTTGGTCCATGTCTGAAGCCTGGCCATGCACAATGTTTTAATGAGGAAGGTCTATAGGGGCATCGAAAATCCCTGGACTGGACCTAAGTCAACAGACATGTAGTAGATATTTAATGACCTAATGGTGATGTCACAGAAGACATAATTAACCACTATTTCATTCCAGATATGATGTCAGCCGTTCGCAGCTCCACCACACAAATAACCGCTCCCCAAATTGTAATCTGTCTGCTGGCTCTGCTGTACTGGCCAATACACCAGAACAGCCAATGAACAGCACCATCTCACCAGCATGGATCTACTGCAGCCAATCAGATGTCAGCATGGATCTACTGTAGCCAATCAGGAGACAGCATGGATCTACTGCAGCCAATCAGGAAACAGCATGGATCTACTGCAGCCAGTCAGCTGTCAGCATGGGTCTACTGCTACAACCAACATATTAAAATGAAGCAAACATCAGAAGATCATTTTACTGGCTGTAACTCTACCCCATCCTCTGACTCTATAAAATCCATGGGACATCTACCTGTACCTACCTCACTCATTGAAGCCAATACCTATCTCATCATTACTCACACTTTCCTCCACATATTTTTCCTCGCTTTTTGAAACTCTTCTAAAAAAAGACCCTTTGTCACCTATTGAAGCCCTTCATTACTCCCTAATGCCCTTCATTACTCCCTAATTCCCTTTATACTCACTAATAACTGTGACAAAACCACTGTTTTATGGATACCAGGGCCCTTTCTTTCGTATGCCGTTCGTGCATTTAGCACTATTTCATTCCCTTTTATTGTACCGAATAACTACCGAACAGACAGACCACACGCAATGGGAGTGTGCAGCTTATTAACCTCCCAGAAGCTGTTGTTAACCGCAACTAATTGACCGGCTGTGTGGTCACCGTTCGTATGAACGAACACGTGGTGGGGGCCATCTTAAACTGTTGAACGCCCAGCAGTGTTTGGTCGTCGACCGCATGGAACTGTTTTCGCCCACTGGTTCCCACGAACACCACTGGGACTGCCAAACTTCCATCTCTTCGTCTCAGTTTATACAAACGCCGCGTCGTTCGGTACATTAATAACCCACAAACTGGACCGACCCGGATAGCTAAATCCATGGAGATTTCTGCCGAACAGTCGGTGAAAACTCCTTGGCTCCATGGCAATTCGACAGTGTTCATTGGATCTGAGCGCTGTTCGGATATATTGGGCACTCAGATCCAAGCTATCTGAGGATATGTGGGGGTTCAGTTTGGTGAAATATAAGTTATGTATTTTAATGTATTTTGTTACATATGTAAATTGGAGGGATTTTATTGTTTGTGGGAGTGTTTCACATTGTACTGTATGTTTGTTTGGTTACTGTAAATTGTATCCCAGTCCTCCACAAGGTCCATGTGGGAGTATCCCTTGCTGGAGGACCTGCATTAAAGGCCGAGCTGTGGCCACCATTAAACAGATCGTTTTACCCCTTCATGAAGTCTTGGCTCATGTTGGGGGATTGGGAGCTATAATTCACTACACCTTCTGCTACACTTGGATTTCAGGAGATTCTGCACGGATATACTCGGCTTGAGTATAGGGGATCCATTACAATAGTATTGCTTACTAATACCCTTCCTCACTACTGAAACCTTTCATTACTCACTAATAACCTTTCATTACTCAGTAATAACCTTTATACTCACTAATACCCTTCCTCACAACTGAAACCTTTAATTACTCACTAATAACCTTTATACTTACTAATAACCTTCATTACTCACTAATACCCTTCCTCACTACTGAAACCTTTCATTACTCACTAATACCCTTCATTACTCACTAATACCCTTCATTATTTACTAATAACCTTTATTACTCACTAATAACATTCATTACTCATTAATACCCTTCATTATTCACTAATAACCTTTATACTCATTAATA